AAGAATTGTTGTGTGATTGTTATTGTTGTGGTTCTGTGGTTACTGTTTTGGTTATACTTAACCATGGAGAGTACAAATGGCACGAGTGGAAGTACTGAAAGCCAGGAGACAAGTAGACGGCTTCGTAAAGCACTGAAGAGGGACGCGAAAGAAATCGTGCTCACACGTGTTCAATTATCTGAACAGAACTACATATGTCGCAGGGAGATGCACTCGCGCGTTGTGAAAGTATGACAGGCGTTCCAGAGTGGACCATTGGCAGGGTGGTGCATGAAAAGAAGAAAACTGGAGCTACTACTGATCCAAGTTTAATTTGAAGGGACGAAAGGCGTTAAATTGGATGACGATAGCAAAATGGCGTTAAGGCGAACCGTACATTCGTTCTTCTTTAGGAATGAGATACCAACCCTCAAGGCTGTACATGCAGCGATCAAGGAAAATGAAATTATACCCCAAATGAGCGTCGAGGTAATGAGGAAATCCCTGCACGAAATTAATTTCGTTACGAATCGCGTAATCGGAAGTCAGTATTGATAGAGAGACCTGAAATAGTCGCCTGGCGTCGAGAATACTTACACGAAATGATTGAATATAGGCGACAAAGCAGAAAAATCTATTATTTGGACGAGACATGGGTAAATGCAGGTCACACAGTTAAAAAAACCTGAATAGACAAAAACGTAGTGAGTAACCGACAAGCAAGCATTGAAGGTTTGTCAACAGGTCTTCGTGGACCGTCAGGGAAAGGTAAAGATTGATCGTAACTCATATGGTAGCGATAGTAGCTTTTTAGAAGAGTGTGACTTGATTTTCGTCTCTAAGAAAGGAGGTGATTACCATGACGAAATGAATGCCAGCTGCTTCGAGAGCTGGTTTCAAGGGGTGCTTCAGCGAGTTGAGCCCAACTCTGTGATCGACATGGATAATGCTTCCTACCATAGTCGTCGAGCCTATGACATGCAGCAATGGTTGCGCGAAAAAGGAATCCCGTTTGACGATTCATGTGTGAAAGCGGAATTGTATGAAAAAATTAAACAGCACAAACCTGCGAACATTAGTTACGTGAATGATGAGATGGCCCGTCAATGTGGTGTCCACTGTGCTGCGGTTACCGCGCTACCACTGTGAACTGAATCCAATAGAGCTCATCTGGGCTCAAGTGAAGGGTTATATTGCGCGCCACAACACAACCTTCAAATTACCAGACGTTAAGGTTTTACTTGAGACTTCCATACAGCTAGTAACGCCTGAAGCTTGGCAGAATGCTATCCGTCATGTTGTGAAGGAAGAAACAAAATGTGGCAGCTTGACCACCACATCGACACCATCATAGAGCCAGTTATAGTCAATTTCAACGAGGAAAGCGATAGCGACAGTTTATTACTGTCAGATGTAAGTGGAAGCGACGATGAATAAAGGTAATTCCCAAAATTTTGACTTACAATATGTTTCAAACCACTCTTTATTAAGAATGTGACAAATCTAGTTCACCCATGTTAAACATTCATACCCCGCCTATGAACAGCCGACTACTGGTAGTTAAGTGATGTTCACGTGAACATCGATGAGTCATTACAGTTTTAGATAGTTATAGTATAGGCTCCTCATTCGCTGGTGTTTCAATTGCCTCAAAGCGAGTGCCGGGAGTGGTTGTGTCTTTTCCACTTCTTTTCAATTGTTTTCCTTTTACTTATATATGCGTAATTATAAATTGCCAAAGCGCAGAGGAGCCCTGCAGCAGCAGTAGCAATTTCACCATCCACACTCGTCAAGAGGGCGAACTATACTGTAAAGCTGGCGCGAACATCAGCGAGTGTGGAACTGTAGGGACAAATTTCGGGATTCGCCCGCGATCCGCGGCGCGATTTCACGCCGTGATCCGCGCGTGGGTCTGGAAAGGGTATTACTACCACTCCTACAAAATTTTAAGCCAGTATCTTAGTTCAGAAGATATGACTTTTTCCGATTTCAAGTTTCAATACCCTGCATCTTGGACGGGAAGCATTTCAGAATGCAACTTGTCGAGTTATTTTTTGATCTACTTTATGGCCTAGAAATATTGCAACTATTTTCTGATTCATATATTTTTTATACAATTCTAGACATCCTGGTCTATAATCCCAATTTTATGCTTGTCTAGACGCAGTGTGCCTCGTATTTTCGGTGATTTTATTATCTTACCAAAGCACACAAATAAACGTCGTAATATTTTAATCACCATCGTAAAATGGGCACTAACTTTTGGTTTTTAATATGCGATTAATTTGACCGGCAGATTAAAAATGATCAATTTTCATAACTTTGTAAGACGGCGATTATTTTTCTTGCGGAAGTGAAAGCGACCCTCCTACACCGTAGACGCAAAATTGGAATATACTAAATGATCTTACCCAATTCAGTAAATAAGAACAAATCTTAGGCCCAATTTCACCAACAACAGTCCGTTATTCTCCACCTATAGGGTAACAGACCGTCAGATACAGCGAATGAGCTTCAAGTTCCAATCAACAAATTTTAGCAACCAATAGCTATGAAATGTTGAAAACAAAATACTGTCAAAGTATGAGATGACAACTTGTCATTGAAACATTACCAGCTTATTGAATATTAAGAAATTACATATAATTCAGTTAAAATTTAAGAAATGTTTGATTTTTGAATGAAATTCATGTTTTAATTACTATTGTTAATTTTTTATTCATGTTTATATTATTTTCTTCAATTGATATGTGATACTGGGTGTTTTTTCCTATAAACCTCTTGCAGATAGCCATTAAGCACCTACTTGATGACAGGTTCTACCAAAAGATATTGCTCGTTTCCAAACATTCATTCATTTAGATGCCGTACATCAGAACCATTATGGCACCTTAGATTGATATTCCCACAAAACCATTCAGGTTTTTTGATATCTATACATCCATAAAGTTGAATATTTTTCGTTGTTCAAGAACTGAACAACATCCACACTACATTCACAGCGATTAGTAATTCCCAAATATATGCCTTAAAGCTAGAGAAAAGAAGAAAACTTATAAATCCTGCAAAAAAACTACAAATTTGCCATATTTTTCTTTTTTCACGAGTACACATCCTAGGTTATATTTATATTAGACATTATTTGAATACAGCTGATTATTGCATTTAAGGAGTGACACATCTGTGGGATCTGTCAACTCTTGGTACCAGTCACAAAACATATATACTCTGAAGGTTTAATTCCATGCTATTCAATCACAATACGGTGACTTGTGTAGTTGTCAGCGGCCATTTTGTGAGGGTGCGACAGGGTTGCCAGATTGTACATTAATATCCCGTTTCATCCTCCTGGTCCCAGTGGAGTAGTTTCGCCAACTGTTGAAATATACTCTACTATGCTTTATAAGACTATTCGTGACATTTTTCCCAAAATCATTGCACAACACTTGAAAAAATGCAAATGAAGATTTGAAATTATTTCCATGACGCCGCAAAATAGCTCCGTCGGTACCTTGGGTTATACATCTTGACAGTAGGGATGTTCGATAGGATCCTATATTTAGAAGTATCAATACATTTCAAGAGTATCGTCATCTTTCGATCGGGACTGTGTCAGGAAGAGTGACTGCCATTTGGCTGCGACATTACCCTGCCAAATCAGACATATCTTTCATCATTTTCAAAGAAATTGTACAAAATCTTCAAAATTTGTGAAGTTAGCTAGTTTCACTTCATACGTTGTTACCAGACATGCCCAAATCATCAGTTGCTGCCGTGATATTCATCCCGACCACTGCATCCCCACGGCTAGGCGACCTGTATGTTAACGGTTAGATGATACCAAAAAACATTTTCATAAATAGGAGATCCTTTCCATTCCGGATCGAACAATCTACCAAAGATGCTTATAATCATGATACCTAGTAAATTTTCCACGAAAAAAATGCAAAACCAGCAAAGGTGAAATATTCATTTCGCACCCTCCACCACGGACGTGATCGTCGTTAGACTTAGCAACCCTCGAGTGTCAGATAGATATCCCCGCCAGTCAACGACCGCCAGTCAAAAACACAAACAATAAACATTACTAGTTTGATGATTTTTGGACTTAAAAGACATTATTTGTGAAACATTTTCATAATTTTTTGTCTATGTCCATAGTAATTGCATTATACATCAGGGAGATGTAGGGATTGACAGGTCTTACAGATATTATCTGTGTTTAGGATGGAGAGGACATAATGTTTTTATTGCTTAGAAGAAATTCATTAACCCATAAATTAATAAATGATTACTATTATGACGTAAAGGAAGATGAGGAATTGGATGGAATGTATTTTATATTCTATTTTCTTGCAAAATACAGACAAATCCACACTATTCAACAGGTATGTAATGATAACTTTCAGTATATTGAAGTTGGTAAATTCTAGAGTGCCATGCATTAACAAACGTCCAAATCTGCTGCCAAATTTAACAGCGACCTATTATTTGCCGCATTCCCGTTCGCTGAGGGGGGATAACGGATTGTTAAATGTAAATCTATAACATATATCAAAATACATGAAAGTTGTCCTGTTTTTCTGTACAAAAGCATCATGTTGGAATCAAAAAGAGGTCTTGTTTATAATACAGTCGAATTTTCACGATTTTATTCAATCTTTCAATAGAAATCACTAATATTCAGAGACCTTTGACAGCTTCTATCAAAATGCATTTCTATAAGGTATTTTCCCATTGGTCCATAATATTAATGTTGGTGAAATTGGCCCTAAATAGATCAAACATAAATGCATAATTGTTGACATATCTTTACTTCGCATGCCAGTTGACTAATGCAGTTTTATCTGTCGTATGTATAATGAGGGTTCAAGGAAACCAAAAGAGAATTTTTAATAGATTTATATTATATATTTGATACCAATTTAAAAAAAAACAGGTTTACTTATAACTTCCCATGAAATAACATCTCTAGTGCGAGAAACATAGACCACTTTTTATGCTGCTATACTGGAACCAGTTGGCTGAAGAGTAGCACTTGCTAATTGACCATAGTATGTATCCTGCCAGCCAGTGGAAATATTCAAGCCAATAAAAAAGAAGTTATACCTCGTCAAACGAACGTTACAGCCGTGTTCTTTCGAATATCTACTTTAAACAGTGCGCCTATTGCTATACATTAACTCGTCACGTAAGTTGCTTGAAATGTATTTTAAAAGAGCCTTTCGAAATCGATTTGTATCTATTTCTTTTTTAAAAGTCTTGAAAAACATGTCCCCCCTTCTTTTCAATTTCCAATCGCAGATGCCCTCCCTCTCCTGAGACGTATATTTTCCTAACTATTTTGGGGGTTGCTCGGAAATAATTGATTCCCAAAGTAGGCAGTACACGAAATGAGTTGAGATAGAGGAGATTCAAAGATGACCCTTCGTATGGCATCAAGTAGATTGACTCTATACTTTCCACACCTTTGAAACAACTTCTAGTACAATTGTCAGAAGCATTAGTTCACTATTGGGATTTTCATGGACAAAAATCCCTCGGATTGCAGCAGTGAGCGTGTCCCTACACGGCAGCCTCGTTTATTTGCAGGTTTGGTCTTTGTCAACCAATGTTTGATATCCAAGAAATCAAGTAACTTGATTAAGTTACACAACCAGCATATTAATTTAGATGCTGTTGTCGCGTCCCCCTCGTATCTGCATATCGCTTTACAGCGCCGTCTGCTATCTGCTTTTATAAGTTCCTCAGATCCACTACCAAAGATGCAATATTTACAACCAAGTGGCGTTGGAAGTGCGACCCGATACGTCGGCTGGAGATATTTTTCCAAGTTTTAAGGGCAAATATACGGGGAATTTATCATAAGTGAAATATGTCTGATAGGTGCGTAAACTTACCGGATATGAAAGTGTATACACTCCTGTCACCCCCTACAACTTCACCACCAAATTTCTCACCCCTAAACATTTTATCAAAAATGATCAGGTTCCTCTGAAAAGTCATAAAAACCAGGTTTGAGCGATTCAATTTTTTTCGTTCTTGGCCTTCTTTGTCCGCCGCCACTAGATCGATTTTAAGAAATCATAAACATTTTCAGTCCTTGGCATAATAGTAACCTTAAGTAAGAGCAGATTAGCAGTCAAACCGACAGACATTCGACGGAAATGAGTGACATGGTTTTTCGTTATGACGATGTCATGTAAGATCCAAAATACATATCTTATTTTGAAATTTTTCGCAATTACAATCCTCCTTCTATTAGTGGAGCGTGGAAAGTAAAATGAAAAGAGATAACACATCGCACGTCACTGTCAAAGCGCTGTGTCTTTGCATATATATGAATTTCGTTTCAGACCCCCAGCAAGCCATGGCAGCCCCCGACGACGACGACTCTCAAGAGGGAGCCAGTGGCGGAGGGGGTTCCAGGGCGCAGTACGTCTCTGCAACTGCGTCGTCTTTACCACTACCAGGAGACGCAGCATCGGTTGTGGACGAGCACTTCTCAAGGGCGCTGGACAAAACGGCGACGCATGCGAAAGGTGAGTGAAAAAATGTCATCTTAAAACGCTTTACAAGAATTGAACAGTTGAGTCAAGACAATGTATCTGTGATGTGGCAACTAGCCTGTTAGCGCTTTAATGCTATACCGAATCGCAAATTGTTCCTCCGTTGAATCACAATACAAGACTCAGACAAACTGCAGCCACGAGTACTGCTTGCATGTTTGGGGTGCTACAGCCGCGACTACACTGTCTATGCCCGATGCAGATTCAAGGGCGGACTTAGGATTTCGTCTAGGGGGGGGGGGGGGGCATACGATATTTGGGGCTGATCATTTTTCAACCTCAGTGGAACTTCTAGAATTTAGCCCATTGTAGGTCCTTAAATCCATTGTGTTTTATCTGGTCAATTCCAGCTTTAAAAAATTTAGAAAATGCTCAGAGATCCTCAGAAAGACAATATTTTACTATATGAGAACAAAATAAGTACGTGGCATTTAAAACTAACTAGTGTAATAATATTCAAACATAAAAAAACTTCATTGCTCTGTTGACCGAAAAAAAAACATTCTCAGTGATCCCGAGACATATCCCAGTCCATTCCACACAAAACAATGTCTTTGATTGCGAAAACGAACATGAGACCGAAAAATTCACATTGTCGTATAGACGCTAGACGAGACAAAGAAGAATGTCTATACACCATCTAAAGATCGTGTATTGAGAGGGTCTCCAGACTTCCTATAAACAATTTGCGCAACGGAGTCTACTAGTGTGTATTAAGCTTAAGGATTAAGGTCCGTATCGTCAGTCGTCCCTACAATTGTAGGGCGCCTTATGGCCTCCTTGATTGTCATACTCTTTTCTCTCCTTCAAAAATTTGACTTTGAGCATCGATCAGCGCAGTTTCTGGACAGGCCACACGCGCACCACTGAAACAAATCTCATAAATCTCTATTTCCAATTTAGGCGTTCATCTAACATAGTGCTTCGCTGCAACACCAACCCCGAACAAAATCAGTCAAGCTTTAGACACTTTTCAAATTACTATTGAGCAACAAACAGAACCTAAACAACTTTTAAGTACAATCTGCATGGCTAATATATTAGTCAGACTTAGATATATCGTATTACGTATGAATCGTAAGAATTGTGCTGTAACGTAAGTGATGTCAAAGAGGGACAACGTTTGGAATACCAAAGGATACCAAAAAATCTCAATGCTCAGTTCCTATAGCTATAACTTATAGTTAGTATGCCTTTGTCGCGATGACGAGTCAGAAAGTAACACAATGGTTGTCAGATTACAAAAGCAAGTGTCAGAGGTCTAGGGGGGCGCCACTGTGCAGATTAGAGGAGGAGTGATCGATGACAATTCTCTAACTAAGGGTGGAGGCCTCGGGCCCCTTTCATACCAACTGGTTTTCAGCATTCTTGCTCTTTTTACCGTTAAGCTAACATGCTAGGCTAGGCACTACAAGTCTTCTGCCTCCTACCCTCCGTCTATCTTTCGTACATCTAGAACTGTCCGATGCGACCGCTCCATGGTTCCTAGGGTGTAGAAATTGTGAGACAATCTGCCTGATGGGACCTCTCCCAGTTATGCTAACTTTAGACAGCTCAAAAGTCAGATTAACAAGGTGTTTTTTAGGTCCTTATGGTAAAAGCGGTGACTCGGTATTAAGGGTCCTGCCTGCACGGTTGCATCAGTATAAAAAGTGTAGTTTTAATTTTAAAACTGTTTGGTTGTCCGTAACAGCGCAGGGCCTTGCTGTTTGCACCACCGAAACTGAAATTCTGTCTGTCTCGCTGATCATAGACGGCAGACTTATCATGCTTGATGTAGTTGTTAGGATTAATCTTTAGGTAGCGGGTCCCTTGGGAAAATATCGGATGCGTAACAATCCCCGATTTACATCCCTTCGATACTATTGCAGAGGTCATGTCAGGGCCACACACTTTGACATCAAGTGACTCGAGTACTTTCTTCACGATCTTGTGTCTAGAAGTGCGTTAATGTTGAAATTAGGCAGTAACAACTGCTCAGTCTTCGCTAGCATCCAAGATGTCAATTCTTAAAAAAAGGGTTTAGAATAAGTTTCTCTAAAAGCAATACAACCATTACCACTTTCCATTAGTTCTTCTACTCTCTCATTTTCAAGAAGTTGAGCTACAAAAAGCTGCTACATTACTCTCTATCCAGCCTTCGCTTCTTGATGGCCTTTTGCATTATGAAAATCTGTCTGTTTCTACACTTGCTTGTTAGCCTGAGGATCAGATACAATAATTGCTTTATTTATTGTGTGTCAGCACTGGAAGGGTTACCCTTTGAGAAGTTTTCTACAATATGATTGTCCAACCATCATGCTGTGATTTTACCCCTTCCGGCATGGCTGTGTCAAGCCATGTCATGGGCATCCGCAGACATTTCTTTCATGGAGAGGAGCGATAACTTCTTGTGAGAGTGTGTCTCTCCCAAATCTTTTTGAATAGCGGGGTGGGCAGTAAATCATTATCATTCTGAAAGTTGACCCTTCCCTGGCACGCACTACCGAGCACCCATGTAGGCGACCCACGACACACAGAAACTTCGGAGCCTAGATTGGAAGCACAGGTGGACTTTTTTTATGATATTTCTTTTGATTTTTGGGCATTTGCCCTGGGCACGGGCTCCGTCTGCCCAAGACGGAATAGGTTTCTGGCTAGATAGGAAATAAATCAGCTCCGAGCAAGCGAAGCTACTAATCACAGAAGCAAAACACCTCCATTTTTAGTGTATCTGAACATTTAGTTAGTGTGGCTTTCTATAAGTATTTTTGTCACAAATGTTTTGTTCATTTGTCTGTCAATTCGCCTAGAATCATTGAATAACGTGTTCTACCTGAAGAAGGCCAATAAAATGCTATATTTCCGCTTTCAAAAGATTATCCGAGATAACATGAGATACCGTAACATCATCTATGAGAATTTGTCACGAAATTCTCAGGTCTTTAGGTAGAATATGCTAATGATTTCTAAAATACGGAACAATAACCTTGCATGCAAACGTACCATCGGAAGCGTATCGCACACATTGTTACTCACCTAACAACAAAGTATCTAATCGCCGACAATTAATCACCATATGATTTTGAAGAGTTGAAATATCTAACAACAACGCTAATAAATGTTATTGTTCCGCTATCTCTTGTTTGGAATTCCCGAGATACCGGTGTGCAATAATTATCAGCAGGGAATTTATTGGATGATGAACGTCACAAATATCCAGACGTGACGACTGTCGACGATCGTCCATACCAGCTGCTGCTTTGCTGCCGGTCGTAATTTTGGAATGTGGCCAATACCAGGATCGTAATATCACGTTATGTCACATTTATGTAAAAACTTGGTTTGTGTGTGGCGAAGAATGGGAATATACAGAGTGCTTACAAGCATTCAGAAGGCGAATCTTTAGATTATTCTAAAGCTGCATTTCTAGCAGATGCTCGTCTATAAACTTTAAGGGAAGATGATTCTGTTTTTACAGGTCATGTACAATTAAAAACTACATTATAAATCTTGTAGTCTTAACTTTTCTCCTGATGCTTCCATCTTCCAAATCTGTTAGATCAGCTCGCCACTACGCACTACGACCATTTGGTAGGACTTCTCTGCTCCAAGTGTGTTGATTATGTGGAAATTTCTATAAAGAAATAATTTTCCAGATTCTGGCAATTATAAGGTATCTTGGTTAAATGTATCTTATTTCCAATTTGTTAGTAAAACCGCATCTATTGAAGATGATCGTAAAGTTAAATAAGGTATAGGTATAAAAAGATGTCTCTAGTCATGGAATAAGGCTATTTGTTTATTAGACTTTTGCATAGCATCAGTCCAGAAAAAGTATGGAGGGTGGTATCTGCTATTATGATTTGTACCAAATCTGTAATATTTGAATTTTAGTTGCCATTTGGTCAATGATTCGAGGTATGTACATCACATTCTACTCTTACTTTTAGTGTTTTTTTCAGAATTTCCTAGAGATGGGCCATAAAAATATTGAAAGAATTGTCATTTTCCGCCTAAAAAACAGGCAACTTAGAGAGGACGAACACAAAGCTTTATATTTCCATGTTGAGACAGGTAAACAATACAACTTTGATGGATCTTTTCGGACTCCTTGAATTAAAAAGTTTTGAGAGATACATTATCTCATTACAATGCAGTGACTCAAAAATATTTGAAAAAAATCGATAAGTAATAAAATTTCATATAACTCGCTAAAAAAATTTCTACACATGTATTTTCTTGTTTTTTTTTAAGATTCAAAGTAACGTTTATGTTCGTATATGCATACAATTTATAACGAAATAGATTAATGTCTAAAATCGCTCGATACTTTGTCTAAATATCTGTTACCTTTGAGAGAAATACGAGAAATTATGGGACGAATCTATACTCTATAGATCAGAAGCTGTCAACCATATGTTTTACCTTCCCATAACTATTGCTATATGCGTGGTCACGGCAAAGAAATCAGTGACCTAAATAAACATTGGCAGATCCACTCACAATTTGATCAGAAGCCTTCGTTCGGGGACCGCTACCTCCCATCCCTTGGAGGGAAGGTGCAGCGTCGCTAGGGATGTACATAACATATTAGTCTTACTTTTAATTTTTTTGAAGTGGTGAGTCAAAATTATTGAAAGAAATGACTCTTTTCCTCTAAAAACCGGCAAATATGAGATCCATTTCAAAACAAACATTCATGTATATCTCTCGATACTAGTTTAATGGCTAATAAAGCTTTAAGAAGTGCTTGAAGCTATCTCCTACAAGGAATATATATACATTTCTACACGCAATGTCTACGAACTTTCGAGTAATTTCGATTTCTAATAGCAGAGCTAAAAAAAAGATGAGAACTGCAATTTGTTTTGATTCATTTCCCTAGTCACGTCCCACTTCATTTAGCAAATACTTCTTCATCGTTAAAATGTTGAAGCTGACCATCGGTAGCCCTTAATTCTGAAACATCATAAGCTTGGAACACGTGAATTAGCTACTGCCTTGCAAATTTTGGAATGAATAAATAACCTACAGATCATACGGCTTCACCGTATTTTGGGTTCCCCCGCAGCTATAGCTACGTCCCCAGTCACGCCAAAGTAATATGGTAGTTCACCTAAAAATTGACAAATTTCTCCAAAATATTTTCCAGGCCCCCTGAAATACGCCTTACATACTCCATTAGATCCACTCATATTCCAGCACAAGGCCCAAACTCCTGCTTTCCTCATATTCCGGATAAAAAAAGCTTGATATCAAAATCGCTTAAAGCTATTCTATCTGTACAGCGTGTTCAGAAAGACGTCTCAATATTTCTAAGGTAGAAAGTACATACCAAAAATAGCAAAAAAAAGTTCATCCTTGTTTGAAAATTTTTATCTCGTATTTGCTTATCTAAGTATTCCCATAGATTTTCAATGGAGTTTATATCTCGGAGACTGTGAAGGCCATTTGAGAACTGGTATTTTTTCATCCAGAAAGAATTTCTTTGCGAGATTTGAAGTGTGCTTCGGGTCATTATCTTGCTGGAAGATTGATCTTAAGCGTATATTGTCTTCCATATAGGGTAACATGACATG